TGACGTCTGCCTGGACGCTGCCTTTGAGTCTTCAGAATGCAACCCTAGTTCCCAATAAGACGAAACTCTGTAAACTGCCAAAAACTGCTCCAATAGGTAAAGTTCTTGGTTGTAGCGTAGATCAACCGGAAAATCAAAATGAGCATACCTTTCTTGGCTGCCTGCTCGATATTATATCCCGGGCTAGGATCATTCGGTAGCCTAACGACCCGCGCAAATCTGTCCAAACAATTACCTACAGCGATATCAATTGTTTCGCCAAATACACGATATTTATTGTGCGAATAGGAAATCACCTAAATGTAAATGACGGTACGCACTGAAATCATGGCTACTGACTAGTTTGACCTACCTGCGTGTTCCCGCCACTAACATACAACACCACAGGGTTATGTGCACCCGTGATAAGTCGTCCCATCTCTATGTGACCAATGCAGTGATTAACAGGAATGAGCGGCACAGACCAGGTCAACGACAATGTGCGAGCGACTATAGCACCGACCTAAAAATTACTGAATGCGAAAAAACTGTAATCTTTACGTTCTCTGATGATTTAGCGGAGAGAACTGCATAGTTATCCAAAAATAAGAAAACAATTTGGAGAAAAAATTATGAGAAAAATCATTTTCAGCACAAAACTTAGGTACAACGGTAAAGGCAGAAATAGCCTTGAAATTAACTATAATAAATCAAAATATAATGGACAAGAATATTCCAACCTGCAAAGGTGCTCCCATGCCTGGACCTTTCGTGAAGGCAATAGCATCAATCTCTTTTTCTGGCTCTCTGATTTTGGCATCACTTAAAGCTTGCGTCAATATTTTTAGAATCTGAATAGATGCAATAGAAAAAGTCGAGCCAAATCCAAATTTACCTGTTGGCGATGATGTTGCGCTGTTTCGCTAGGCCGAAAGCCTTCTCCGGGTGGAGCATGGAAAGTGGCACGGGGATTTGACAAGACCTCACCGTCTCGGACAATTCCTACCTATAAAAACTGTCAGCTTTCACGTTTTCTCTCATTTTCCTTGTACTTACCCCAATCTTGTTCGCTGAACCTTCGATCCCAAGTATACAAACCATTTTATCAAATAAATCGCTTCAGCGTTAGAAGTTTTCGCCCTCTCTGCAACAGACGGTTGTCAGATCTTTGGCAACTAGCGAAGGCAGCACGAATCTCACATTATAATTGCTCTCAGCAGCGGTAGGAGAATTAC